TGGGCAAACGATCCGCCTTGTGCCTATATGTAGAACCACCCTAAACCCTAAAACCCAAACCCTAAACGGCCCTAACCCTAAACCCGAAACCCCAACCCCGAACCCCGTACTTGTCCGAAGTTCAGCCCTAAACTGGAAGTGTGAGCTGGGCTGCAAGAGGGCAGGAAGGCTTTACAGTACAAGCCCAAAAGTTGGAAACCCAGTAGCCTCAATCCTTAAGAGTAATGTATAGGGAATCACAGCACTAATTGTTCTTAGTCGGGTATCCAACCCTAAACCCTACACCCTAAACCCTACACCCTAAACCCTAAACCCTAAACCTTAAAACCTAAACCCTAAACCCTTTTTGGGGTTTACTCTAAGTCTTCATTCGGCTTTGAGGTCTAAGGCTCGGGATGTGGAGCTTATGATTTCTTTAGGAAGTAGGTTTTCTAAAGTGGCGGCTGGGTTTTTTGTTTGGGGGCGCAGGAGCTTGAAGCTCGGAGTTTAGGGATTAGGGTTTAGGGGTTTAGGGGCTTAGGGGCTTAGGGTTTAGGGTGTAGGGTTAGAGTTTGTGAACATGCGCAGGACTGTGACACCGTTTGTGCGCCGCCCATCCACAGTGTCTCCCATGCCAAGATCGCGCTTCGTCTTCAAAACTAAGAGCATGACGGGGAGAGAGGTTTAGGACTCAAATTTTAGGGTTTAGGTTTTTCGGGGTTCAGAGTTTATGATAAACAGTGTTTCGAGCATTGGATGCAGGATTTACTTAGTTAGTTAATACAGTTAATGGGGGAACTCTGGGCTAAGAGATGCGTGTCCAATGGACAGCTTGAAACTTGTCTGGGCTTGGTTATTGAAGAAGAGGGTTAATGTAGGAGTCTCGATATTGTGTAGCAACATTCGCTTGTAGTCCTGATCTAACTATAGGGAACAGATCGTTCGTCGCATTAATGCCCGTAGGAGTCTGGGATTCACAATCTTTAACTCGAGAACTAAAGGAGGGACCCTTAAAGGGACCCTTGGGGTTACATAGGGGCTTTGTGAGACGTCATAAGGGGTATATAAGGGTTATATAGGGTATTCGGATTAGGGGTCCCTTCTAGGGGTCCCTCATATTGTCCCTGAATTTAACTTACACTAGATAATTGCATACCTGGGATAGGGTCACCTTTGAGCAACCAGCTTGGGGCCTTACATGTAGGAAAGGTGTGGATTCGCAACATTGCACACCGAAATGCCCAAAAGCTTCCGAACCCTAAACCCTAAACCCTAAACCGTGCTGCATAACAACGCTGGGCTCTGGAGTGTCCTACCTTAATACAGTGCTTGGACCTGCTCCTTACAGGAACCATGCTGAAATCAAGTGTGTGCGTGTTCCCCCTGGTTACCTCAAAGCCCAGAAGATGATTCCTGCATGTTGAGGCTTAGGGTCTAGTTCGCGAAACCCGAGAGCCTGGCTAGAATCATTCAAGCTCCTGTATCAGACTCATACGATGCAACCGTCGAAGCTCCTCACGGATTGCAGGAGCCGTGGTCCCAAAACAATGCCACATAATAAAGGGGCCTTAATAATTAGAATAGGGTTTTGGGCCCCGTTATACTATAGTTATAATAAGGAACCCCAGTGCAGGTAATTATTTAGGCCCCCACATTAATCTCACTGAATGAAAACAGCATGTTTCTACCTGCTACAGTACCCATTTCCCGCGGCACGCTTGCCCGACCCCTCTGTTGGCTATGCTGGTAATTCTCTGGATTAGGGTCTTTTCAAGAGTCCTTTCTATAAGGTTGCCGAACTATACTGGAGACCAAAAAGAGAAGCTAAATTTAGAGAACTACCCATCCTTTTTTTGAGTACCATACTTTAATACTTGTTTTGGGGACCTGTTCCTTAAAGGAACCATTATAAAATAAAAGTCTATACTTTTTTCTCCCTGGTTACTTCAAAGCCCAGCATATCGTCTAACCCAAAGAAAACCGAAGCTCCCTGGTCGTCCTGCGCCCTAAGAAGCACAAGCAACACAGTTAAAGCCTCACTTGCGTTGTGGGTGGTCCAAAGATTCCTAAACCCTAAACCTAAACTTTACCTAAACCCTAAACCCGAAACCCTAAACCCTAAACAGAAAGTCCCAAAGCACTTTAAAAAAATTAAATCCTAAACCCCCAAAACCCCTTAAACCCTAAAACTCTAAAGCCCTACACCCCTAAACCCTAAAGCCCTAAACCCTAAACCCCCAAACCCTAAAATCCTAAAGCCCTACAGCCCTAAACCCCCCAATCTAGCGTCTCGAAGTCGGGACCCCTGAGTTTTGCAAAACCCCTCGTAGCCTGCACCCTGGAACCAATCCTAGATACTTGGAGGATCATGGGACTTAGTAAGTAAGGGTTTAGGGTTTAGGGTTTAGGGTTTAGGGTAGTACTTGGAGGATCATGGGACTTAGTAAGTAAGGGTTTAGGGTTTAGGGTTTAGGGTAGTACTTGGGGGATCATGGGACTTAGTAAGTAAGGTTATAAGTCACCTAATTGGGGTTAGAAGTATAGTTACCTTAGTTAGAACCCTACTTACTAAGTCCCATGATCCTTTAAGTAGTCTTAGGGAGACCCCTTAAAGGGGACCCTTGTTAACCCTGCTTCTGGCTCTGGTAACCCTATTGAGAGGGTCTTTATCTCCAAGGGGTTTAGGGAACCCTAAACCCTAAACCCCTAAACCTCTAATTCAGGGTTTCGGGTTTAGGGTTTAGGGTTTAGGGTTCAGGGTTCAGGGTTTGGGGTTTAGGGTTTAGGTTTCAGGGTTTAGGGTTCAGGGTTTAGGGTTTTGTATAGGGACCTAGATAATTATCCAATATTACTGTTGATGATCTAAATCCTGCATTACCTTAAGGACTCTAAACTATGGGGAGTATGGTGTATTCCTTATTATGGGTAAGGCAGGATTCGTATCATCAACCGTATTTTGGGGGGGGCTCCTTATTTATTATAGTATAACTACTAAGGCCCCTATATTACATCCTCCTTCCCAATCCCAAACCTTAAGCCCTAAACGTTGAGCCTTCGATTGCTCGAAGCGCTGTCTCACTTGGTTGTGGCCAGGTCTGGAAAAAAAGGCAGCAAGGAAAAGCTGAGACGCCGCTTTCGAGGGTTCAGCGCTGCCTAGTTAAAGCTATGGTGGCTTCTTTAGAGTCTAAGATCTTGCTTTAGGGTTTAGGCCGCAGGGTTTAGGGTATGGGGCTTTCAGGCTTTAGGACGATGAATGCGGGTGTAGGGTTTAGGGTTCAGGCAGATGTTGTGACAGTAGTGGTGGTCGTCGTCGTTGTCGCGGCAGTCGGGGTGAGCAGCTTAGCAGTAGCAGTCGCAGGCAGGCCCAGACTCTTGATGTTTGGAGTTGCCGAGTTGTAATTATTTGTCGAGATGATAGTCTGAGATCTGGATGAACTTACAACAGTATCATTACGTATTATAGCACCAAGTTTTTTGGTTAAAAATGCAAAATCCGTGATATAGTCTGAGCAAAGCGAGAGCCCAGTAGTACGGAATTGGCCCTCCCCGATGCATCCTGCTGTGGTGCTCCTGTCGGTTTTTGAGTGACAGCGTGACCTATGCTTGTTAGGCGAAACATTTGAAGCCCAAGCCCCGGTTTAGGGTTTAGGGTCTAGGGTATAGGGTTTAGGGTTTAGCCCTGAACCAGGTCATGCCCCGGAAGCAGTTTAGGGATTTTGGGGCAGGACTGAGAGACTAATCCCGAAAAGCTATGTACTCTTTGCGAGCAGCGCGGATGCCAGAGGAGGGCATTTTGCGTTTTGACATGGCGCTGGTCAGCCGGGAATCGCCGCAGTCTTCCAACCGGAGCGCTACAAATGGCTTCACATAGGGTTTTTATCGAATAAAGCTTTTTCCTCTCGTATAATAGTTTCAACCTTGAGCATGCATTAACAGGAATTGTCGTGTTTGTGCTCAGGTTCAAGAGTCTTAGAAATACTGTTGGTAGGATAATAAATCCTGCATTACCTTAAGGACCCTAAACTATGGGAATTATGGTGTGTTCCTTATTATGGATAATGCAGGATTTATATCATCAACCCCGTTGGTGATTTAAATCCTGCATTGCCTTCAGGACCCTAAACTATGGGAATTATGGTACACTCCTTATTATGGGTAATGCAGGTTTGATAGCATCAACCGCACGGCTTTATGAAGGCTCTCTTAAGGGTTTCACTGTGTTTATGGGCAGTCTGAGAGAGCTTTCTCAAGCCTCTTCTGGTAGTGCCCTTCTAAAAGTCCTGAAAAACCAACCCTTACAGAACCCCCAAGCCTCTTCTGGTAGTGCCCTTTGAAAAAGTCCTGAAAAGCAAAAGCAACCCTTACAGAACCATCAACGGAACCGCTATGAGGAACCCTTACCTAAACCCTAAACCCTAAACCTATAATCAGCCGCTCGTGTTGATGGAGGCTCGTGCTTTGCAGGAGCATTGCTCAGGACCTGCGCTGATAAAATCGACAAAATTGGCCAGTGGGGCCATTCTCAAAATCAGGGGTCCGTTGCTCAGCAGCAGTCCTTATGATAAGATCCTACGGTTTAGCGTTCTATGTGGGACTTGCTCTTTTCGTGAGACCGCGCTTGGGAGGTACAGTAGCATTGCCTAGAGCCTTTGTTGGGACGCTATGCAATTCATAATATAGTGCCTTCATATTAATAGTTACCTATGCTATTTTGGGGGCTCCTGATTATAATTATAGTAGAATGGGCCCCAAAAGCTATTCTAATTATTCAGGACCCTACATTACAGCCTTTCAAGCGTTTAGGTTCGGCTTAGGGTTCAGAGTTCAGCGTTGAATACTGGATGGTTTGGGCTTGGGTGACCAGGGTCTCCAACATGTATGCACATGTACATAAAATGTAACTTTGGATAA